GGGGGGGGGGGGGGAGGATGCACCATAAGATCAAAATAAAATTGTGTAGTTATGTACATGTTGCTACAGCAAACAAAACCTAACATTTAAGATACAGTGGGTAAAGTTATAAATATGGCATTTTCCTTATAATAATTATTCCTATAGGCTCGGAATACACTTGACTGCAGAATTTTTCAGACATAACAGTAAATTCTGTTTCTGGTAATGTCAAAATAATTATACACCTTGATTCCCATTAATATACTAGTTTACAAAGCATAGAAATAGACTAAACATTAATAAGAAATCAAAATATGATACAACAATGAATGACTTGAATCATCTCACCCCAAGTCCTTTACACCTGAAGAATAGAATCCCATATCAAATTTAAAAGATTTTATGCCATTATTTCTTGAGTAGCTTATTCATTTCTTTGTTCTGTCGTAGGATGGTAAAGTCAGCCTTGTCTGTCTTATCATTCAGCCGATCTAGTACTTCATTCTGAGTATCAATTTCCTCACCAAGTCCTTGTGCAAGGCCCTTGAGACGTGACAGAGAAGAGCACATGTCCTCAAGGTTTCTATCTATAACCTTATTCACATTGTTACCACTGGAAGTGTCAGGCTGACTCCATGTGTCATGATCTCCAGATAGACCACGTATCTTGAGACCTGAATAAACAATGAAATATGATTGTTACCAGAAACAGGGGAATAAATTGACAGTGGAACCACGGTTCCAGAGAATTTGAGGTAAATACGTCTTTGTATTTAAATTATATTTAGGCAATAAATACAATGAAAGGAAGTTTATATATTAGCTTTATTCTTTAGCTTCAATGTCATCCATCTTGTTATCTCTACATAGTATGATGGAACACCTAAATGCAGCAGTAGCATGAAGTGCGATGCACCTTTATTTGTATAAATAAATGTTTCTAGAACCTAAACCATTTGTGATATGTAAAATCTGAAAACAGATATGGAAAGCTCAAGAGGTAATACGTATTTCGTACGTAATGTGTCCAGATCCATCTCGTATGGTTTTCGAGAGGCGGGCGTTTAACGCTTAACGTGATGAACTATAATAATAAATAGGAATCCCTTACCTCAAACTTTGTTCAATTGTAAGTGACCACGATGTCCACCCGCAATGATCAATTTAATCAAAACTAAAATGGAGAGAGTGGAGGGCAGCATCACAGATTTTTTAATAATTCTTATATAAGATAAGTAATTGTGATATTCTAAAACGTTTTTAACAGCACAATTTATCTACTCTACGACGCACTTCTTCTACAAGCAATTCACAGCTCAGCTCTTTCCGCAATAACGGAAGCGGATTGTTGATGGCAGTAGAAACAGAACAATTCCGAATAAACAGATGACATAACAATTAGTTTCTTAGGTAAAGGAGTAAAGCATTGTTATGCATGCAGGAGTTCATATAAAAGCTGACCACTGTCGGTCCATATTTACACATTGTTGGTATGGATCTAACACATTTTCCTAACGCTGTTTTGCTGAATGACTCTTCCGTATAGACGTATTTACGTCAAAAAATAATCAAATGTAACAGCAAGACCTAACAAAACTTGTTAATTTACTTTCCGAGTTCTAGAAAATAATATGCAAGAGCATCAAACAAAGTTCACACAATAAAATAATTTGGTGCTTCACAGTATTAAATTAAATCTCACATAAAGATATAAATAAAAACTAATCTGTAAGTTATAATAACTGAAAGAATAAAGGCTTGATGACTAGGCTCTCCAATCCCAGCAGGTTGCACTATTTTTCTGTATGCTTCCATGTCCTGAATGGATCTTAGTCCACACAGAAACTTTCCAAACATACACTGAAGGTTCCTTCCTCATAAGTAATATGTAAAAATTATTAAACTATCCATTCACATTCATTTAATGCCAGGGTCTTGAATGCACAGAGCTTTATTTCTATGACCATAATATCAAGATTATATTATGTGTAGGGCAACCTTATTCTCTGTCCTGTACACCATCTGTCAACTAATTAGCAAAAACTGTAAATACAGAAAGAGAATAAAAAATCTCACTGCTACGAAAAGAAGTGAACTTTCTTTTCAGCATGCAAGTAAAGTGTCATCACCTGGATGGTTTTCATTTGTTGAACCAAGATTTGCTTTTGAACTATTCACTGTGCTGGCTAATGGGCTAGAAGTTGCTGTTGTTCCAAAACTACTAGAAGAATCATCTGGTTGCTTCAGACTTGGGCCAGGAACCTGCTCTCCAGACTTTCCACTCAAATAATTCTTCAAACTGCCAAATACGCTCTATAAAAACACGGATTTTAATACAATAATAAATATTTCTGAATTTCAGCCTATACACCACCAAACCTTTACAAAATATGGTTTAATACCTGTACTTACCTTAATGCCCTGAATATGCTTCTGACTGAATCGAAGCGCATTATTAATATCATCCAATCTCTTTTCTGTACGCTCTAGCTGTTCTCTCTGACGTATAAGCTCCTGTACATTAAAAGTAAAAGACAAAAATATCAATAACAAACAAAAAAATAACTGTCTGAAATTCAATTTGTATGCAACAAACACCTGCTACGCGTAACTAGAATGAACCAGTCACTTAACATAACCTTAAATTTAAGATAATAACTACCTCGGCAGTTGCCACTCCAATCTGCTCCGAATCTCGTAATAAACTAATAGACCTTTCAGACGACTGGACAGTTCTATCTTCAATTTCTTTCTTCCTTTCTAAAAGCTGTAATCGCTTATCTTCTAGAGCACTTTTCTCCTGACAATAGGAAGTATTAGGAAGAACGTATCCAGAACTTCCAGATTTTGAATGTCGTAAAAATGTCTCATCGTCCACGTCATCTTCGTCTACAGAGAAAAACGGAGTGTTAAGATCAGTTATGTACCGTCTCCCAGCCATTTTAAAACACTTAATCACCGTACTTCTCAACTCACGGACGCCATGTCAACAACTCCCTCAATATCAAGGACAGCCAACGTAACACAGTCACGAAACCCGACACACGACATTGGTAACCATGGAAACGATAAATTCAACAAAGACTTTCTATAATTCAATTTCATTTTATTAAACACACGAATGAAACTATATATAGTGTTATATTAGATAGTGTTCTAATATCCTCACGAATGTAAATGTCCCTACTCCTGCAGAAATTGACCAACTATGAATACACATTTTTATTAATTTTGTTGTAAATAAAAATAACATTTTCACAGAATTCACCGGTACACAACGTTAACACGAAGAATAAGGGCATCCATTACCAATTTCCTGCATTTTTTTAGAAAATTACATACTATTAAAAAATCTCACACAAAAAGGCACAATTTAAAACATCGTTAAACAGACACTCAAATACACTCTCCAAACTCATTCATTAACTTGCAAAGGTTTTCTGTCTTCATATAGTACCAGCAGTGCCTGCAATATTACTGAAGTAAAATTTAACTTCATAACGTCTCAGACCTAGGAGTTTCTAAGGTTGTGCCCTTTGTTCTTGTACTTTTCTAGCCAAACAATATTATTAGCACCTTTTCCATCATGCTTTGTTTTGGGCTACAGAAAACATCTTCACCATAACTCAGGCCAAGGGTAGTTTTGTCTTGGCATACTTATATAGTGCTTAGTCTCTGAACTACAGAAACCATTCTCACCAGAACTAAAAACTGGGTAGTTTTTGGAGTTGTGGCCTTTCTAAAGTCTTTTCCTGGATTTGAGGAATAAGAATGCCAAGTCTGATGATAATTTCCAGATCAGTTCTTGAGCTACAAGTGAACATATCTGCACACATTGCGGTCTGCGAACATCAGCACAAACATCTACAATTGTGAGAACTCAATCTCACGTAACTTTGTATTCATTATAAATGTTAATTCCATATTTACTACATAATAATATGTATGTTGTGTTTCCGGCTTCCTGTTAACACAAGTATACATAAAATGTGAGTGCATATAAAATTGTGTTCCTTTTGGGCATCCTTGTAAACAAAAGTGTTTCAGTGTGTACACTGAAGCTTATGCCTCAAGTATTCTAGAAACTTGACTATCACAAGGAAATTATTACTGCCCTGAAGAGCACAAAACAACTGCAGCAAAACCTTCAACTATCAAACATAACTACAAGTTGTTACAGGCAACCATCAAGAAGCATAACAATTTCTTTATCAGATATTAAATAATATACTTTTTATGTATTCAACATGTAATACAGATGAACATACATTATTTGTGACATGTACGTTCAATAATTAAACACTGAAAATTAAAATGCTCTACTAAGAATTAAAACCTGAAAACAAAATTCTGATTTCCAGAAGTTGTCTGTATTTATGGTGAAGTACATTAACAGAACAGAAAATTCCTTGGAGACGGAACAGTCTATAACAGACTAAACCATGGAAATGAAGATGATGATGATGACATTAAAATTTCACACCACTTTCATATACCCAAGTTCATAAAAATTCTGCACTCTAATTACTACAGAAAACTGAACAAGCAGTAATTTACAGACAGGAGAGAAATTTATTAGCACAGCTGTCACTGCTATTGCTGCTGTCCATATCTACGTTGCATTTCTTCCTCCATTGCTGCCAACTGCTGCTGGTCCTGTGCTGAAGTCATCTGCTCCATGAGGTCATGATTATATGTGGAATGAAGCATAAGAGCTAATACCCCAGCTCTGCTTGCCATCAAGTGGCGTATCTGTCGCTCTTGTTCAATCAGTTCATCTATCTTTAGCCACTAAAACATTCACATGAGTACATAAATATTTATGCATTACTAAGATATCAGAATATCATTAAAAATGTTCTTATTGTATTCCTTTCTACAATATATTTTAGGTTAATCAGGCCAGCAACTGCTGGGAAAGTACCTTAAAATAAACGATGACTGCTTCCTTCCACATCATCTTTAATTCATTATTCGGTAAACAATCTATCATTCAACACTATTTCGTCTGAGTTACTAACCATGTCGTTAAATAAACCACAAATAAAATAACAACAGCTGGGGTAGCTCATTCAGTATAGCGACTAGCTACGGATTGGACGACCGGGATTTGATCCCTGACAGGGGCCGATGATTTTTCCTCTAGCCTCTGTGTTCAGACTGCCTCTGGGGCCCATCCAGCCTCCTAACCAATCCCTTCCTGAGGGTAAAGTGCAGCTGGGGTATGATGCTAACCACTCACCCCTAAGCACCTACAGTGGGATAACTTTACTTTTTCTTTTACTTTTAAATAAACCATACAACTCACTAATAAAAACCCTAGAACTATTAAACCAGAAGCAGATTAAGTGAGATATGATACAATAATTTTGTTTTATTTTACTATCCCAATATTTTCCTGTTTCTAAGAAAAGAGCTGAGCTCATTAAGTCTTAAACCTCTCAAAAGCAGGGCAACTGTTCTATCATTAATTAAGACAATCTGCTAAGCATCAGAAGCAATATAGTAACATTTTACCTGCCGTACTCTCTCCATGTCAATCTCAGCTCTTCGTAATTTCTCCCAGCAGTAGTGTTTCAGGCAGCTTTTCTTGGGTGCTCGACAAAATTCCCCAGTGAGATCAAAGACATTGGTTACCAATGGACAGCCACATACCTGAAATAAAAACAACAGTACATAATATCCTTCTTCTTTATTACGCAGTCTCCTTTACAGGAGGTTGGCAACATATTATGAACAGGATCCTTCCATCCTTTTCTCGGACTGGGACCTGTTCATATGTTTTTTGGGCATGTGATACAGAAGTGGTTTGCCATTGCCTTCTTCTGTGTGTATGGAATATGGAGTAATTGTTGGGATGCCACGGAGAAACCAGGGAAGCCCAGGAGGAAAACTCCGTGTTGCCTAGACCATGGCCTTGCCCAACACAAGTTATAAATTCGGGCACCACCGGGAACCCTAGGATTACAAGGCCAGCGTTCTAACCGCTAGACCACCATGGCGACATAATATCCTTGACCAACTGAAATGCCATTAAAGATCTGAGCGTCCAACAAAACCACACGGTAATTCACTATCCAGTGTTGGTATTTTCAAAATATTTTTGGGACATTCACTAGATATCATATATCTTTATAGTTTCTTCATTAAAAATTCTGTTATTGTGACTCAACAGAAAAGTTGCAGCAAGGCAGAAGCAATATTGAAGTAAAATGCCTGGAGGGTAAGGAAAACCCATAAAATAGTTTGCTTCTGTGATGTTATTAATGCTAGTTACATAACAAGATGTTACATATGCAACAAAATAAATTCACTCTTTAATCAATCCATCCATTCCATCACACATTTTAATTATACAGATTCCTCACCTCCGTGTCATTCACTTTGGGGTCTTTACTATGCTCAGGGCACAGAACACGAAGACGCTTACAATATGTGCGGCTCGATGGGTTATAATAGTCACAGAACATGTTGTTTCCTTCAATGCGCGTCTTGTATATTGAGCCAAATGATGACTGACTTTCATACTGTAAACAAAAGAAGAAGAAAAAATGATGGTTGGCTATTTAATTATACTAAATCACTTGCAGGGTCCCGCGCTGGTTTGAGTCTCGGGGAAAGAAATTTCTCATGAGGATTTTCAACTGGTGTATGGGACCAGTGCCAACCCAGCATCGTGATAAAATTGGGGAGCTACAATGGGTAGCGTAATCTGGTCATGGAAACTAGCAATGGCTGGGGGTTTGTCGTGCTGACCACGTCACCCTATATCTGGTTGAATGATCGTTCACCTCTGCTTAGGCATGTGAACGTGAGGCCAGCAGCCAGCTAGTCGGCTTTGGCTCTCAGAGGGCTGTTACGCCACAGTTTATTATTATTATTATTATTAAATCAATTGCAGGTTATTTAGGGTTGAGTGAAATGTGAGGATGACTGAATAAAATAACATATGAATGATGTTGAAAGAAGAGTGTACAGTCTGCAGTAATACACAACATACAGATACAGGCCTACATATTTTCATAAAAGAAGAAACAGAGGGTTCAGAATGGAACAATCCTACAAATGTTAGTTCATATTTCACTCTCAAACCTTTTCTGTAATCACCATTAACTAAAATTTCTACTGTCCTACATGAATTTCTTTATGACACTCTGTTAAGTAGATAATGACAGATAATAGGATATACTGGGAACAACCCGTTCTTCAAGTGCCTGAGCACTGCGGGTCCAAACTTTCGTTGGCTTGATCTACAGACATTCGATAGGACTCCTTAGACGAGGGATCGGCCCGTCGCAAGGCCTCTACCTGTACACAGGACAGCACAATGCAGAACAACGCGGACAGACATCCATGGCTTGAGTGGGATTCGAACCCACGGTCCCAGCGGCACAAAACCCACGCCTCAAACCACGCAGCCGCTGGGATATATCTGTATAAATACCTTATTGAAGCATTTTTCCATGTGTTTAATGGCCATTCGTGAGTGGATTTCATGACCACATGTGATGCAGTACATGCTCATCTCTCCTTCATCTTCTGAATCTTCTTCACTGCGCAATTCTATTGTTGCCATTTTGGCACGCTCAATAATTGCGTCTAGTTCCTGTAAAGATCATCAAAACTGTATCAAAAGTCTACATTAAATTATTAAAACAGTACAGTAACAAATACAATCATATGACAGTATCAAATTAGTTAAGACAAACATAAGAGGTTAGGAGGAAGAATATTAATATATGAAATTTTTGGGAAGATCTACTTTGAAATTAAAAAAGTCAACAATGGAAGTATATTATGATGATGCTAGCGACTACTAGATATGATAATCATAATTAAAACTCTACCTTGTGTCTCTTGTCTAATTCCTGTAGGATCCTCCGTACCTCCAGCTGGTGTTTGCGTACACTCTCTAGTGCACGTTTGTTGCTTTCTTCGGCTGCACATGGGGACAGAGCCCACTCCTGGATTCTTTGGGGTAACACCTATGAGTGTGAAATATGTAAATTGTGTAAATAAGATAGTAAGGAGTAATGGCTTGCAGACACCAAAAAAATTACAGTATCCAATATTTTGTTCACATTCTAAATTCCTTAACAAAGAGTCGATGTAAATTGAGGAAAAGGTATATAATAATTAAAGATTTACTAATGATTAGACCATTTTAAACCTCTCCCATAATTCTGTGTGGAAGTCATTTCCACTCACTTGACTATTCACATTTACAGATTTGCTAAAGCGATTATTACAGTCATACACGATATGTCTTTGATGAAATCTTCAATATAAGGGTTTTCTTTAGGTCTCAAATTACTTATTCTGGTATTCACCTAGTTAGAATGAAATGGGTATGTAAAATATTATCGAGCAGAATTTCACAATCAACAATGCACATTTCTTTGAAGTCCATGCTTACTATACCAGTCCAGAACCCCTGTAACTGTTTGAATTCTGGTGAACCGGCCAGCAAATAACGTGTGAAAGATCCCACGCTAGCAAGTCATGTGTGGAGGTTCCCACGCTAGCAAGGGATCTGGAAGTTAGGTCAAGAACACATGCAGTACTCGAGTGGAGACAGTAGACAGCGGGCTTTCAGCCAGTAAACAAAACTTTTGTACCTGTTATGGAAAGTTGTGTATGAGAGGATCCAAATTTCAAAAGTAAAAGTATTCTGTGTTCTTCTTTAATTTGTTGTTCCTTTGTTTATTCATATAAAAAAATTACCACGTCAACCCTGAGGTGATCCTTGTTCCCCACTGACTCTAGTTCGGGATATAACTATCTCTTGTTGCCGGAACAAAAAAAGTGACACACAGTGAGAAATAACAGACCTGTTCCACTGATGAAATGCTACTGTTATTTGTACCTGGTAAATTCTGTTGGTGGCCAGTTTTAAACCACAATCATCACTACAATATTTACTGCCTGGACGAGCTGCTCGAATGCAAGCTGGCCCATAACACTGACGTGGTTTATCAGACTGGAGCCAGCGAGATCCACTGCTTCCCCAGCGTTCCCCACCATCTGAGCTTGAATCCTTTCGTTTGCGGTGTGCTGATGCCGATTGTCGTACCTTTCGGGATTGATCCACATCCTGCAAAGATTTTATTTTAAAAATGTAATAAAATAATTTGTATCGCATACTTGGCAATTGCTACTTAAACATTATACCTGCAGGACATTGTTCAGACACTGACGCTGTCGACATTTGTGACGTGCTCTGTTAGCAGAACGGCAGCCATCACAATGCCCGCAATCCTCTGTGCGATAACAGCCCAGACACTTCCCACAACGTTTCAAGGAGGATGACAGATGTGATGCCTTTACTTTGTTGTCCTCCACTGCAATAAATTCAATCTTTATTGAACTATGCAAATACACACCGAGAGTTCAATCATGACCTGGAATGTAGTCATCTTGGTTATACCGTTATGCAGTCTTGGCAAGACTTCAGATTCTTACATCAGTCAGTATGAAGACAACTGTCATCTGGGATGTCATGTAGTCTCACAGAAAATGACTGACATTTCAGAGGAATTTACTGCCTCCATTTCCATCATCAGGGCAACTTATCACTACATGGTGCAACATATGATAAGACCTTCATACTTATCTAAAGTATATAAAATCATGGATACAGACAAAACAGTTTACATTTTGAAAAACACTTAGTGCCACACGTGTTTTGACCTCAAGAGATCATCATCAGTGGAAAAAACATGAATTCATTAATCTGTCTATTAAATCATACAATTCATAGGACAACGGTTTGTTATAAAGCACCAAGCATAAAAACGTTACACTTTATAAAAAAAATACTTCATGTAATACCACACTGAACATTTAATTGCACATGAGTTGGTATATTATCTAAATTAAGTTACTTAACTTAATGTCCACTGGCCTATGTCGAGGTTTCTGTCGTTGGTCAAAGGTGAGCCGTAGTTGCGTTGTATTACTAGCAACACCCGTGCAACGTTTAAGTTCACAATCCAGGCACAGACAACCCAAAACTGTGGGATATTAAACTATATCAAGAAACAACGATAAAATAAAAAATAATAAAACTTACAAATTTCACACGATTCCAATTTGTCCTTTCTCTTCTTTGATTTTCGCTCTTCTGAACCAGGTGCAGTTCGCTCACCCTCCCGTTTCCTTGGTTTATATTTTGTCACTAAAGTTGGGTCCTCTTCTCGACAGCGCTGAAAATAGAAGACAGTCATTTCTTCTAATCATAATCTTTCACAATTGATAAACACATTTTTATTTAATTTTTTTACTTATAAAGAATTAAATAAAAATCCTGTACCACACAGAAGAACTGCTTGATATATTTGGATTCTCTCTCTGTTATGCGGATACAGTCACCATGATACCACTCTTCACAGTTGTCACATCCTCTGGAACAAGCACATAAAATCTTATGTTACCTGTTTGAGACCAAAATGTCATCTAAAACTATTTAAAATTCAGTTTCCACCTCAGAGAAACACAATGCATCTCACTTACAAAGATCAACTGGTTCATACTGTTTCTGAAAATAACTGTGTTTATTCTGAGAATAATACAAAATCAATAATTATATTGTGAGCAAAATACAGAGTTACTGAATGTTAAGTAGGTGATACATATACAGTACCACTGTGCTTTAAAGGGAAAAATAAATTGTAAATAACATATGCAATTATTAATTTTCAACATAAAATATTTCACTACATGCAAGTGTTTAAAACATACTAAGATTTGAATTATGCTTTGAATGAACATATTTCTGTTGATAAATTTATATTTCAAAGAATGATTAACATACTGCAAACATGCATCTGTTTCTAAACTTTGTATATAGTTCTGTGATTGATCACATGTGCCAGCCTATATACTTTTCACATACTGACAACATATACATATATATTATTTTTATGGATAGTAAATTCTGTATTTGTGTGATTTGTGTGTCCCATATTGTTATTCAATAATATACTTTAGGGTTCTCACAACAGTGGGGCTTCTCTAAAACAACTGGTACCAACCTATGAGTTCCCAGGGTATTACAACCCAGAAGAACACCATCATCAATAAATTTTGAGTGCTGTGTAGGTATTTCTAAATATACTGCATAACTGTTAAATTAATTATTAACAATGTAATTATGTATGTGACTAGTTTTTTTGTATCAAATGTTGGTCTTGGGATGTCTCTGTAACTCACTGTACATATTGGTATTTTCTAAATGTGATTTGTGGCATCCTGACTTGTTCCATATCCTGCTAACTTGCATGTATGGTAAGTATCTACCTGAAGATTTCTGTCTTCTGGGTTGTTGTGCTGTGTAGTCTGGTAGATGAATGTCATCGCCCTGATGACGGAGGCAGTATGACCTCTAAACCGTTGGTAAACATCTACCAGACTACACAGCGCAACAACCCAGAAGCCAGAAATCTTCATACTCACCGCTGTGAAAACCTCAAATCACACAAGTATCTACCTGTTCATCCATTCATTTTTTACAGAAACAATGTCTAACAAAGTCAGATTGGTAACATGTTCATTTCTCAAACTCCATTCAGTACTTACGTAAGAAATACATGAACAAGATAGTTTTCAAACAATTTAAAAAACAAAGCAAACCTAACCTGAAACATGAGTACTTACATCATGAACCTCGATGAATCTGATGAGCGGCAGATACAATAAGCCTGACCATCTTGTTTTAGCAACGTGGCTATCTTAGACTTTCTTTCCGGCAGCATGAACTGCCGAGCAATCTCTTCTTTCTGCGAAAAAGCGACAGTAAATTCAATTAAACGTAATCAGAGTACAACACACAGCAACACTACACTAAGGGTTTACTATACAGCTTGCCTAAGCTCTACCGTACCACCTACCGATAAACCAACATACTCCTTATCAGTCATATTAAGCGTGATATAAACGATTACTTAACGACAAAACATTAAACACGACTAAGATAAGTCAAACACCAACTCAACAACCATTACTAAGCTTTCATCAGGCTGACAACATACTTGTTCATGCCCAAAATGTCCCTATCACAGACATGCATAGCCCCTACGGTATGGTTGGTATCAAAATTAATAAGAATAATAAATTACGACGTAGCAAATCAATCCATCTTGTACACAGAAAGCGCTGGCAGTAGAATGTTTAAGTAGGTTGAAAGGCATTTAGGGCAATTAGATTGAAACCAGTAGTAAGAATAAGATGCATACGATGTCCAGAATGATATACATGTGTGGAAAGAAATAGAACAAATATAAGTTCTGTAAAAATAAATGCAAATTTATTAATAAGAGTGGTATGAAGCATTAATGTCACAGATGGGTCCATTGAGTCAAATTACAATGAGATTATGCGTATTCACATGGCAGTAGCGCTCTTAACATACTATGAAAGTACGACGGCCTGAAGATAACAGACATGTCAAAAACATGTAGCTGCATTTTTGAGTAATAATGTACAGCGAGATATGAAGTTCTCAGTGCGGTGAGGATGATGTTCTTCTGGGTTGTGACGTCGTGTTTCTCCGAAACACAAATCTGCATGGCGTCACAGTCCAGAAGAGCACCATCATTTAGACATGATGTCTAACATTGCGTATAGTCCTTGGTTTACATTATAAGAATTGTACCTATTTCATAGAGAACGTCATTACAGCGACTTTTTGATGAGATACCAACATCAAGATGTTTGTTATCAGTACATGTTAAGAAGTCATTGGCTTAAAAATTCTTTCGTACAATAAAGCTGCACCCCGGAGCTGGAGACAAATAAGTTAATTTACAAAAGCAAATGGTTCCCCGTAATTTGTTATCATGTTAGGTAGGAGTTTTCAGTTCGTAAACGAGTTGTGTTGAGTGTAGTGGCTATTGTTGGAAACAATTTCCACTGAAAAAACAAGTAGTGTTCCTAAGAAATGCGACAGTAAAAAATTGCTTGAAAGTGGATGAACATTTTTTTTATAAATTTTAGTTCTCTGTTATAATTCTAGTGGGCTGCGAACACCAAAAGGTTGAACAACACAGAAGCTTTTAGCAGTAACTACTACTACTATTATCACTAGTTTCTGCCTCCAAGTTTAAAATATAAGTTTATTGTTACGTTTTAACTTATTAATAATGTGATATCAACATTTTTTGATTTGTTTAATTTAATTTAATTTTATAGAATCATTCTTTTATTCAAAGCCTCACTTTTCGTATTTGAGGTCCCGGGTTCTGATCTCGGTGAGGAGACCGGATATCCTAACTCGTTTCTCGTTGTTTTAATCAGTTTTTTCAGGCAAATGCTGGGATTTTACCTTAAATTAGACAACACAAGCGCTTCTTCCTCAAACTTTCCAACTAGTCATTCATTTATTATAGTACCATCTGACGTCTTGGCTACGGACAGTGGCTTCGAAAACGTGGTGTAGTTGAAGCATTTGGCAACGGCGTTAACAAATGGGAATTGCATTCACGATGAAAATATGAGCAGGCCAGGTTCAGAAAATGCCTTCTACCACCAGTTCATATTTTACCTTACCATATTCTGTATAAAATCGTAAAGATTAAAACATACAAAATTTGTGTTGTGTGGGTGCAATCCCTGGTCTCTCATAGTGAGAGTAGAACACGGATTGAGGGCGTTTGGGAATAGGGTGTTCAGGAGAATATTTGAACCAAAAGGACATGAAATGCCGGGAAACTGGAGAGAGAAAATCGTAATGAGTAACTCCATAATTTGTACTTTTAATTAAATCGTGATATGTAAGGTTCTCAAGGAGGCGAATATGAAGATGGCTGTCTTCTAGGTTGTTGCGTCGTGAAGTCTGGTTTTTTTAGAGGCCCGATCACCCTGATGATGGAGGCAGCAAGGAAGAATCTCTGAAAGGACGGCAAACTTCTACCCGTCTATAAGGCGCAACAAACCAGAATACAGCAATATTCAATAATAATGTGAGGAGAATAAGATACGTGGAGCATGGAGGCGTAGATGGAAGGATAAAATTAAAATGTATCTCAGAGAAATTAGCCAGAGAATAATTTATTGAAACATCACCTAGTGTTCAGTCATAAGAACCTCTTTGATGCGGTTAGTTAACATCTCCCGTGAGCTTCCCGGATGCTCGTCAAGTATAATAACAAGATAAAAGTTGCAGATAGTTTCAGTGTTATACAATTCAACACGCAGTTTGACGTTTTTGTTGTGTAGATCTCAGCTTTTTAATTATGTTCATTCGTTTGAAGCTGATACTGACATTCAGGGTTAGTCTTCGAATAGTGTATTGCTTGTCAGTTACAGAACAATTAGTGATTCCGAAATGCTGTCCAGCTGGCGAACAATTTAATGAGTCGATGACCTGCGTCACCTCACATTCTATTCCTGAAGACTGGGGATGGGCAATAAACGACTCTATCGCCTTCAATAATAAAGTAGCATTATCTATATCCAGTCCCATTGTATTGGCGAATACATCTTTGAGCTGTTCGGCTTTTTCCAGGTAAGTATTTTCACAGATTAAGTCAGACTTAAGACGTCGTAAAATCTTAAAGTATGGAACCGAAAGTAGGTATTGGTTGTGAAAGGGACCAAAAGTTAAAGGTTCGTGACAGATCTAATTTTTGAAAGAGTGCAGAGTATATAAGCAATCATGTTCAGCGTCTATCCTGATTGAGGGTTTTGTGGTTTTTCTCAGTCTGTCCATACAAATCGTGGTACAGTTCCTTTAAATAGGCCATTGCAGTCTCTTCCAAGTCGTTATCATTCACAGTCGTCTGTCTCTATCGACGGTATATAAGCATACTTCAAACAGTATTGTATTATTATGACTTATTCTATATCCTATTGTCATCTGACTAACTTATGGATCCATGGAATGTAATAAAGATGTATGTATGTACAGTGTCATTAAACAACCCAAGAACCAATGAGACAGAACATATGTTTGCTTTGGTTGCCTTGGCTGATGCTGTGACGTCAGATCATCAGAATTAGTTTTTTGTCCCAGAGTTTTAAGTTGATAAGTGCCCCCCCCCCCCAAATGTCAACATTAACCTTTTAAATCTCAGTGGTAACTATATGTACCACCTGCCGCAACAATCAGTGACGCTGCATTTTATATTTATGGGTTCTCTCAAATATTGTTCGGAGGAGTTCCGGCTTCAGATGGTTAACTGCTAATTTAGTGAACGTCTTATGTGGGCAATGAAGTTAATTTACATTAATTTCAGGGCAATTTTGTTTTATGACATGGACGATTTTCGGCTGCTGGGCGCAGGTGGTGGACACCTCCACCTGGATGTCCTCGTCTACAGCACCCAGAAACGCGATCAGATGGTCACGTACAAGGATTCCTTCTGTCTGGACGCAAGACACAGACTTGTCGTTTTCTGCCCATGCTCCAGATTACCTTGCGTTAGGAAGTGCTGCTATGATGGGTCTGCGTACAACACGTCTCTCGGCCGATGTGTCGACACTGGGTACCAAGACATTGGCTTCTGGAGACCAAGTTTTCAGGCAGGTCAAAGCTTGGAAAACTTCATGAAAAAGTCACTATAACAATTATAACTCAATGACAATCTCTGAAAGTAATTATGATACATAGGCCAAGGCCTACTTTACTGTAAGATGATGATGACGATGATGAGCTGCGGTATTATTTCAGGCTGGAGCTGCGGAAAGAGGTTATTACGTCATAGAAAACAGAACCCCAACCTGTGAAGCTGGTACCGCAGTAGTGGTAACATCAAGCAACTCAACAAAATTCACTGTGGATGGAGACGGTAGTGTCAAGGTATTAAAACTTCAAATTACATACTTACTCGGGCAGAATGAATTAAAGCGATCAACATATTTAATCGATTAGTATTTAGAATCAATAACCAGAGCAGTCGGTAGTTTGGCCGGTTCTAAGAGATAAATATTTCGTACCTTCTATAGAACAAGAAAATACGCTAATAATTGACCATAAACAACACGATTAGGTAAAGTGTGCGAAGCGGTGTTAAACACAACACGCTATATTTTGTGAGATTTCGGGTTCTCACGGCGGCGAGAAATAACCCAAAAGACAGCCATCTTCAGGCTAAATTTTATGCTGTAGGTGTGCGGGTACTTTCAGCAATAGTGCTGCGGAAATACAGGCTAAAAAGCTACATATCATGAGTAGTTGGTATAACACTGTTAAATAAACTCAATTTTAGCTGCTCGCTTACCCTCAGGCGGTACCACGGCAGCAGTACTGCATAGCATAAGTTATGAATCTGTTCAAAATAGCACAAGCAGTTGATATGACGTCAGACTTCAAGTAACATATGTTTTAGGTATCCGGGTATCCTCAGGCGGTGCCGTGGCAGGAGTACTGTGGAGACACAGACCTTCTCTTGGTATGCCCCGGGCGACTCAGAACAGAAGACAGGAAGTTCTTCGTGTACGGCGTCCTGTTGCTAATATCCGGTTCCCTGCTCGTCATTTCCGTCGTTGTCACGGGCTTACTATTCCTCCCGAGTCAAGCAGCAACGAACCTCCACAACCGCGTCCTTACAGCACACAACGCATCGCTTGCTGCCGCATACATGGCCACTGGTGTGGCACAAATCAATCGCGACATAACGGATGTGGCTTGTAACTCCTTGGGTATGTGGGCATTCTCTATAACCGACTACTAACTTTCCGTTAAGCGAACCCAAAGGTTCAAAATCGCTTAAATATAAATTCCCCGTGGTCCTTAATGTCAAAATTACGATTTCATTAGCATATCAAACATTTCAATTTGGGCACTGCTTTTAAAAATACGAAAAACGACGAACAAAAATTTTTTTTACACATATTCACAAATCAAACACTCTGCTGACGTAACTGTTTGATTGTCCACAACGGAAAGATTATCCTGAGTTCATAGTCAGTCGAGCGGCGTCGTAACGAGCATTCACGAATTCTTTAGATAAGAGTAGCGTATTAAATGAAACAAAGATAACACAACCTCCACGTCCGACATATAGAATGAAATGAATGGAGCACACTTGAGCACAGTCGAGCCGAGCGTTCAAAACGAGCATTCGATACGCCTCACCAGTTGTGGTGTAATGTAACATGCTCGCCGCGAATGTTACATTACGAGTAAATGTTACAAGTCAGTCGCCACCTTTACAGCGCTTCATTTCTTAATGAGTCGTTTGACGTGGGTTTTCATGTTACCGTCTGACGCACATCCGAATTACCGAGTTGCTTACGGGCAGGATATGCCGTGTACGAGGCATTTGCAGAAACTTTAAATCATACCGACATATGATCCTCAATAAATTTCGAATATACCGGCACGAGGGAAAGAACGGGAAGTGAGGAGGGCGAGACAGAGATACCAAATAAATTACTGGCGAAACAAGAAACAACTAAAGGTGTCTTAGAGTATACATTGGATAACTGGTATCAAAATAAAATATCACACCGATTGGGAAAGACGAAAGGACCCCCACACCACGTGTAAAATTAGACACGTTAGGACCATCCTTCATGTCATGAACATAATAATACTCAAATGCCAGAGTCGTAGAATTAATACCGCCATGTTTTAAGCGACAATGTACTGTGTATGGACAGCAATGCTCTACTTTCGTACGAGCACATGTGCCGGTCTATCATGAAACTGTCTTCAAACAGTTCAATGGCATGACATCACAGCGAGAGCGAGCGTACTTCCCCGATGCCATGGTGCGGCGGTTAGGAGTCACTATCGTACTGTTGACAGCCGCGGCCAGACATGTTCTTTCTGTGGAGTGTAGTGATCTCGGTGGTGGCTGGAGTACCCCAACACGGCTTCAGGGTCAACAAGTGCTGTTCTGAAGACCAAGCTCTGACCCCGGAATCCATGTGCACTGACTATGACAGTTACTACTCATATTCAACAAACGAGATCCGACCCTGGTTGCCATCCGACGTGACAGTTGAATCGCGAAGTCTCTCCGAGTTTCATGTGACAACTCAGTTCGGCAGCAAAGCAACGTGTGAAGGTCGCCATTACTTGGTGTTTGCAGATGACGTTGATTTGTTCTCGTTACTAGACGATGGAGGGCTAGTGTTGTACAGTGAAGAAGATTATGGGAAGAACCAGACGTTCCCAGCTTCATCTTTCTGTTTCGATCGTTTGTTACTCGACGGTGGTCAAACTGTTAAAGTGATCCTATTGTGCCCATGTGATACCATGACTTGTATTAGAAAATGTTGTCCACCTGGAAGATACCTGGATGCAAATCAGAGATGCATAACAGACGATACGGACGTAATACGGCACTCGCTACTCCGTGATGATACCTCACAGTACTTTCAGTTGATTGGACTCCCTCGTTGTCAAGATGGAGGTGTTTACTTGCTGAACACAGTGCCGTCACAAAGTAAGACACATTTGCAGTATGGATTCTCAAACGACGGTCAAGTGGTTGGCCGCGAGTTCAGGCAACCCATACCCGTTGAAGAATATTGCTGGGATGTGACACTCGATGAGAATGGTAATGAAACTCCGAATTTGCTGTTCTGTAAGAGACGGGAGAGCCGCGGGTGGGGTGGTGACCGAAGGGTGTTCTACGGAGTGGTTGTACTCATAGACGCCGTCTTCCTCTCTGCCACCTTGCTCGTGTATGGCGCTCTGCCTGAACTGAGAAGCGGCCTACACGCCAAGTACCTCATGGCTCATACTGCAAGCTTTCTGGTTGCCCACTTGTTCTTAGGAATTGGGCAACTTGTACCTGATCTGCACTACGTGTTTTGTTCAATAATAGGTAAGACCACCAGCGTAGCAACGCTTCTGGCGTCCCGGGTTCAGTTTAAGAGTTTGGCACCCTTGCAAGACTATATCTAACACACCCTTATTCCAGTCACCGCCAACCCTTAACACACCAAAGCGTTCAAATGACTGTTAACAATCATTTTTAAATTACAAAACCTTTTACCAATTTTATTTCACAGAAGTCACTACTAGGTAATGCAAATTGTTCAATTAACACTAAAGGGTGCATTATGTAATTACAGCACTAGGTGACAAAGACAAATGGAAATTTGAACTAAGAAGTCGATTGCTATGTAACAGAAATAAAAAAAGCGTACAAATAATATTGCAGTTACATCTGGACTGCCTGAAGGCAGAAAGGATTCTGATTTTACGTGACAATAGTAAACTGATTCCTCCCAGTATTCGTCTGAGAATCGCACAGGATAAGGGACGTGGGATATATTAGAAATAATTTGAATAATGTTGTTATACATAAAGAGGCTCAATTATCACCATCGATATGTACGTATTACTTTCCATTCCATTACGTGCAAAGCCCAATAAGATACAGCTGTATGAATGGGTTTGCTAACGACTCTGTTTGCTTCACTCCAAGTGTTTCGGTTTTGGCTGCATATGAGTGACTGTGTTCTGTTTTTCTTGCAGCTTTCATTATCCAGTTCACATTTTTGGCTGCCTTCTTGTGGCTGAATGTAATGTGCATCGATATCGCGTGGGCTTTTAGGTAAGTGTTATGACTTCATTAATTCTTTTGCTTCAAATTCCAACTCAAGGTTTTGCTCTATGTTTCCACGATACCTTACAAAATACTCATTTCTAAAGCTTGCCAAAAGAAGCACAATGTTTTCATTGGAATAGAGGAAATGGCAAGACTGAAGGTATAAGATAAATGAAATTTTGGTGATGAAACCGCTTGGAAAACGACCACCTTGAAGACCAAGAAGGATATAGTATGATAAGATTAAGATGAATCTTGGGGGACTTAAATTGTAAGAAAAATCTTTAGTAAATCTTTAGTATTAAAGATGTTGAACTATTAAGTTTTACCACCAGCCTACTTATTTAGGACATTACACAATTCTACCTTACATGAAAATATATACGAATATTGGTCGGTTATTATTTGCAGGTAAGGGATTTTGAGCCTTACGGAATAATATTTATGAATATGTGTATAATCATTGCTGTGGTAATGCTGTAGATGGATTTTGTGCCTCGTGGGATATTAGGACTAAGCGTGTTTACTATTTTAAATTCTCCCTTCATTCTTGACGTGCAATAATAGAGATTGTATTTTAGACAATATATAATTAATATTCGTGTTCATGCATATGTGCGAAGGACATAGTGGAACTAGAGAAATCTTACTCCACTTGAGAATCGTACAACAAAAGCCGCTAACACTCTGGGACGACATGGACCTTGACCAGTCTGAAGCAAATAAACGCACGGTTGTTTACATTTACCTATTATGAAGCGGGAAGGGAATTTTTCCAGGCTCTCTCTCTCGCTAACCAGCATATCCACATAATCAACGCATTTCAGTGCGGCTGGGAATTTATAATGACGTAGTCACTACACTTTCCCAAATTAAGTATTATTATTATACACTTATTGTGTAAAACGTCTGTGCAGAATCAGTTTAATTTCATGGCATGTCGTGACAGCTGTCAGCTGTCGTAACAAATTTAATTTTGGCCAAAATGGTTCATGTAGAAAAATTATGCGCAGTTACTAGTGTACCTCAAACATTTAACCTACTTTCTGCACCTTGATGGGAAAGATCATTTCTGTGTGTGTTTGGACCTCAATGATAAAATTCAGATTGAAGTGGCCAATTTTCACGACGTTTGAATACATTTTATGGATACACCAGACTCAGTGAGGACGTAACGGTACAATACTTTTCTCCTGAGTCATGAACTTTCTAACAAACAATGCGCTTGCAATCTCCTGTGCACTTTCGTGGTTCTCTTGAATTTGGTGATAACTGAAAATAGAATATGTTCATGCACATGATGGAGAAATGTCGATGGAATACTTGGTCACCTAACAACTAACATTAAAATAAAATAAAATTCAAAGCTTACATCAGTTTTAAATATTTTGAAATAACTAAGATCCTTCAACGCAAACAGCTGATTTATTCCCACACATAAACTATTTATAATATTCAATTGTGTCTTTTATTTGATATACGTTATTTTAATAATGAAAACTACGAAAAATGAAAAAAGGAAAGTACTATAAATACAATTTTCCGCTCGCTGGACCAAGAATTCTAAGAATTTGTGGTTGGTCATTATGAAGATAATTTATGCACAACGTGCAAAAAAAAGGCAAATAGCAAATTACAAACCTCGCTAACTACATACACATTACGGTATCCGTTTTAAGCTGGAGACAACGTGCAGATAAAATGCAGCAAGACAAGAACTTTGGATTAAAAGAGATAGGGGAAAGCCTGAGAGTAGCTAAATAGATTAATTTAACTTGAGAATTTTGGAGTGGACTACACAGCATTTAATCCTTGCGAAAGAAAAGTAAAATTCCTTAAAATAAAATATGCACCTTTTGTTGAGACCAGAGCCCACCCTTTTTTTTACCGGAATTAATGTCCAGAATTTTACATAGCGACTTATACATACGTTTGTCTTGTCGGTGTCAACTATGGTGGACTGCAACTGGACCGTTTTGTGTGTTCCAGAGATGTGTTTCGTCATAACCTTTTTTGCACCGAAATGCTGCATACACTCGCAGAAGTCAAACGCTTTGTTTGCACAGTTGTTTAAACATGAAAAATATGATAAATCACCTTGGCAAACACTTGAAACTTGTTTCGTGCTGTTCAAATCACGACGAGATGTTAATCCACAAACCCAAGAACACAAAATTTCCTGACCTTGGTCAACCAGCATTAAATGCACTCTTGAAAAATAAAGGTAGGATTTCTTTACTGGCTGCAAATTACTCAGAATTACGAAAACTTGAGAGTTCTCGCACCAAAATAAGGTATGACTAGAATGTCTATGTATCTGCTACAAAGTTGAAATTTCATTATGAACATGTTGAATTTCTATTAAATTTTCGATATTCTGTAACCAATAATAAAATTAACATTAGCAATCGTATTTGAGGACAGTGGTTTAAAGAACAAATTGGGCTACTTCACAGAGCAATACCAATGACACATTAATAACTAAGTTTCGACTAAATTCACTGTTGATAAATACTACGAATATTGCTACTACTAAAGTATATTAAATACATTTAATTTTGGTTGTAATCGGGCACTCAAGGAAACTATTGAACTATTTAATAAATATGATGCGGTGGCGAAAAGTTTTGTATATTATACTGTGTCTGTCTTTAATTTGATGTCTTAGGCTAAAATGAAAACATGCCACAATGTAAATTTCTGGAATCAACAATAGCTAAAAAAAGAGAGATAAACTACTACTACTACTACTACTGACTCTAGTGAAATGAGATTCTCGCTGTGGTGATGTCATGTTGTTGGTCTAGGAATTTACGCCACATGGAATTGTACAAATAGAAATGTTTCGGAGGAACATACTCTCTCCAGGGCCAAAGATTGAGACATTGAGTTCCTCTGGTAAAGGAACATGAAGGTTCACAAAAAACTCTGTTTTTCTCAACACTAATTAAATTCTCTCTGACTATTAGCCGCATGAGATGGTTAAAACTCAGACGCCCTGATGATGGGGAGAGAGATGGTCCTTGAAACGTTGGCGAGGTAAGTTTTGACCATTTGACACGGCTGATAGCCCGAGGGGATCTTATTAATTCGGTTCGTCGTGAGTTTTAAATTATATGTTTTCAGAAAACTGTTTTGTCATTATGTGAGATTTGCCCTGAAGATGGATATTTCTCTGAAACTTTTGTATCTAACTACGAGACTACATAGCGTCACAGTCATAAAGAACAACGTTATTTTGTCATCGATTTGTACAGATATCAAACTTGGTATCTTTGCCCGAGGTTATAATCGTCAGTTATAGCATATAAAAGAATTACTAAAGAGCAGGGAATGAAGAAGTTATGTAAGAGGGAACTTTGTGATTCGTATGTTAGTATTGCTGGCTTAATTAAATGCAGATTACAATAGACTGTATATACTGTTCAGATGGACGAAACGAAAAAAATAGCATGTCTATGGGGACTCGAAAATCGACCATTTGGATGATCGAGATGAAGGCGAAAGAATATTAAACTGGATCTTAATAAATTAAGTTTAAAAAATATATGTACTTAACTGACACAGCTTCAGAATGTGTTAGCCGAGCAAAACCTAATTACTTGCCCCAACACGGAATACCATCAAAAGTATCATGGCAGCGGCGCGAAACCGAATTATATTCGATAAATAAATGAAAAAAAAACCTTTTGTACGAGGTGGATATTCGTTTTCCAGTTGGAATTAATTATAATTGTCTCCGATAGTTTGATAAAGATGAAGGACGAATTTCGTGCTAGACTACTAAGAGATATTTTATAACGTGATTTTTAACACGGTACTCCACCTAGTTACCATAACACGTATTTGAAAGAATTGCAGAATATGTCCTTACCTCATAGTTAGGAGAAGCCTCTGTGTCCAATTCCACATCATCCATCACCTCCACATTTTGTGTTTATACTGCTCTGTATGTAACAAAGCGTACGTCCCTCCACCACACGACACAATTTCTGACTTGGAAGAATCTTACTAGCTACGTGCTAGTCAACACGCTCTATTACACCGTTACGAAAGTATGAATCCAAATAAACTAGAGCCTCCAAGTTTGTTTTGCACACATTACAAGCTTTGCACCTGACACAGCAGTTTTAATTAAATTAATGATAAAAGTAATGTACTTGACGTACCGAGAGATTTGCAGTCAGATACTTATAAATATCGATATCGGGCTCGATTTTCGGAATTCTAGCTGCCAACATTTTCCCGAAAAAACCTCACTGAAATAAATATTTGTCATTACCAACATTATTTTAAAATGATAAGAGATAAATGGTTCAATGATAATTTCTTTCATTCAAACTATACACCTATTGGTCTGAAATGGTTTAATGAATAAGATATGAACTGGATGGTTAGGATTTAATTCCTAGCAGGCCAAGATCTTTGCCATAATGTGTGCACTGCTCTGGGGTCCACCCAGCCTCCTATCCAGTGGTATTGTGGTCGTTTCCTCCAGGATAAATTGGTTGGGACATGGAAGCTGACCTGTCACTACATTCTAGGCTGAGGTTCAGAGTACATAGAACTATGCACTCCACTCCCTTCTTTGTACACATCAAGAAAACACCTTTTTTTGCAAGATGCTAAAACAGGTGAAAACACTTGTGGTTTTTAATAATATTCTGCACAGAGGAAACTGTTCAAAATACAAGTACATTCATCACATGTCAAGATTTTAGTAAATTTGCAAGGTGTTAAATGTTAGTAACAAACATAAAAAGACATTAGTATTTAAAGCTTGGTCATACACTGATGTGCTAAAGGGGTTTTTGCAACTGTCATACACTTGAACAAAAACTATTTTAAATATCAGCATTTTTATAATGCTGTTTAACT